GTGCGGGGGTGGGGGCTGAGGAGGGCCTGCAAGTTGAGCTCCAGCGAAGAGGGAGGGGTGGAAGATGTGCCCCCCACGAGGGTGGCTGCGTGGCTTTGTTGTGTGACTGTTGCACGGGCAGAACTGTGGTAGCGAGGCCAGCGTGGCCTCAGCCAGGAGCAAGCGCCCTGGGGCGAGGGCCGGCTGGCCAGGCTGGGGAGGAGGCAGCCGCACTCCCACACGCGGCCCTGCACCACCTGCCCCAGTGGCTCTGGGCTCTTCCCTTCCGGACGCGTGTCCCCGGGTCCTGTGTGTGTGTGTCCCTTGGAGCCGCGAGGCCGTGGTCCTCAGCACAGGGTCCCAGAGCAGCCTGGCCTCTGGGCCAGAGGGATGAGAGCTTCCATACAAACCCACAGAGCTGGGGTCAGGCTCCCAGCCAGAGTGTCTGTTTGAAGTCCGTCCACTGGGGGTCCCAGCAGCCCCCGGCCGCGAGGAAACGCACTTCAAAGAGGACGCGTGTGGACACCACTGGGACCTTCAAAGGCCATCCCAAGGCCAGTTGCTCCCAGCCAGCTAGGGAGGCGATGCTCAGACAGCTGAGTAAGGGGCTTGCGGCATGCCCAGCTCTGACAGCGCCCCTGGGAGATGCCCGCACAATGTCTGGCTGGGCCGACGTCTCTGGTGTCTGTGCCCTCACCCCGCAGGACTTGGCACGTCTGAGCCAGGCCTGGGCGCCGAGGCCCGCGGTCTGAGGCGGAGTCGCCGTGTACTCTGCGCCACTCCTCCTCCTCGCTGTTGTCACGGTGTCCACGTGTCCCAAACACGGGAAGGGCCCTCTGAGGAGCCGGGCAGAGGCACTCGTTTAGGGGCCACTGCACGGTCCCCCGTGTCACCAGTGCTGCCTGATGGCTCTGAGGGAGGTGGGAGAGGACAGCGTGTGCCCTCCGATCGCCCAGAGCTCCAGGAGAGGTGGCAGACGAGAGACGGGTTTGGCCCGTGTCCCACAAGGGTAGCCGTGAGCCCTGGAGTCCCGCAGGCGGGTAGCAAGGTGGGCTGAGCACAGGCACCGCTGGCTTTGGGGTCCACCCTGCTCCTTAGTCGTGAGAAGCTCGCGTTTCCAAGCTTCTCTTCTCTCAAGACAGAGGGCGAGACCAAGCTCGTAGGAGTGCCATGCCACATAACGTGAGATGGTGCAGCAGCCCCCAGGAAAGGCCTGTGCTTCTCCCAAGGCCTGTGGGCCAGCAGCACTGGCTCGCCTGGGAGCCTGTGAGGAATGCAGAGCTCCAGGACGTCCCCTCCCCCCCACTGAATCAGGGCTTTCTTTCCAAACCAGCCACATGGCTGATAGCACACTGCGTCTTGAGAGGCACCGCTCTCGACACTGACTTGCCTGGGATGTGATCGGCACCTTCAGAGGCCCTGGGAGGGTGCCTGGGGATTGCGGGCCGGCCAGCGAGATGTGTGAACAAACCCTCGACTTTGCTTGCCACGTTTTCTGTAGGCTGGCATTCTGCAGCGGAATGTGTGCTGGGTTGGAAAATGTAAGCCGGGCTCAGTGGCTCAGCCTGTAATACCGCTCTTTGGGAGGCTGAGCTGAGTGGACTGCCTAAGCCCACGGGTTCGAGACCCACCTGGGCAACCTGGCAAGACCTCATCTCTACAATAAATCAAAAACTAGCCGGGTGTGGTAGCGCGCACCTGTAGTTCCAGCTACTTGGAAGGCTGAGGAGGAAGGATCGCCGGAGCCCAGCAGGCCGAGGCTGCGGTGGCCGGGAGCGGCCACTGCACTCCAGTCTGGGTGACACAGTGAGACTCCAACTCAAAAAAAAAAAAATGTGCAGGTCACCTTCCTGCCCAGCTTTGCAGGAGGACGCTGAGGAAGATGGACACCTTTCTGTGGCCAGCGTCTCTTCCCTGCCCCACCATGCTCCTCGTGGGGAAGGGGAAGGAAAGGGGTCAGCGGCCAGGGCTCTCCCCTGCAGGGTCTCTTTTGGGGACAGCCATGTTGCCCCTCCCAGGGAGCATGTTTGTCTCTGAACCTGGGCCTGCGGGAGACCATCCACCCGCTGCCATGAGCGCGGCGGGACCGCGGGCTGCTCCGAAGGACTGCAGGCCAGGGGCTGTGTCTCAGACCAGGGAGGCCCTGTCGTTTTCTCAGGCTCGCCGCCGCTGCCTTGGGTTGGCCCAGCTGGGCCAGGGATGGCAAGTGTGGTCTCCAGAAAGCCTTGCGGGACCCTTCCACGCCCCTTGCACCAGCTGTGAGGCACAGCTGTCCTTCCACACCACCTGTGAATAATGTCATCCCACGGTGTACCATAGTGCAGCCAGTCTACAATTCCTCCCCCCAACACACACACAAACACACACATAGCCCCGTTGGTTAAGGGAGGGGACTGAGTCTTCACTGTTTAATTTTCTCGCGTTCGCCATTTTGGCAGACTCGTGCTAAGTGCTTATTAGCTGCGTCCAGAATGAATAAACGAAGCGATTCTCAGTTGGGAGGGGAGTGCCCCTTAAGGCTACTCAAAGGAAAGAAAGGAAGGAGTAAAGCCTGTCGCTGAAAGGCTGTGCTCTGCCCTCAGGACTGCTGCTGGGGAAGGAGCGCGCTGAGCACGCCTCGGCCCCCCTGCCACCTCCGCCTGCCTCCGCGCTGTCCCCCGTGGCCCCCGCCCCAGCCGCCGGCAGCGCCCACGCCAAGACCGGCAGCAAGGACAGCAGCACCCAGACGGACAAGAGCGCCGAGCTCTTCTGGCCCGGCGTGGCCTCCCTCCCTGGCCGCGGCCGGCTGAGCACGACCCCCGCCCCCAGCCCCATCCTGAAACACTCGGCAGCCAGAGGCACCGCGGACAAGCTGGGTACGTGGCCCCCACCTCCTCTGCTGCCCTGAGCACCTTGGCGCTGTCTGGCCCGTGAGGAGGAGTCTCTCTTTGAGCCAGAGAGGGGCCAGGATCCCCGCCCGCATTCACTCCGTGGGGATCTTGACGAGGACGGCTGTCCCCGTGCACCCAGGCTGTGCTGCCTCACCCCGTAAGGGAGTAATATGCGTGTAGACTCGCTTGTCACCACTCAAGATGAGTCCACGGCCGAGTCCACCCTGGGGACTTGGCTGCTTTATAACGAGTGCTTCCCTGGCAGGGGTGAGGGTGGGCCCCCTGGGGGAAGTTAGGAGGTCAGTGCCCTCTAGGATGCTTGGGAGCCAGTATTAGGCACCAGGTACCTCAGTGGCATCCAGTCGTAGACGTTGGCTTCAAGGCGTTGACTTGCCAAAGTTTGGGCCCCCATGGAGGATATCCTGATGGAAGGAGAAGGTAGACTGACTGTCCAGGACCAACGAGCTGCCTAAAATATTTAAGAGAAGACAGCATGTGGGGTGAGCTCTGCAGTGAGTCTGGAAGTGTCCAGTGGAGGAACAGGCTTGGCCTTGGACTAACCATTGTCAGGAATTCTTTGGAGGAGCTATGGGCTACTTGGGCATAAGTTAACTGTGTCCTCCAGAACAGACAAGGACATGCAAGCTGCCTGTCGCAGGCATGCGACTGCCTTACAGTGTTGCCTCTGTTAGTCTGTAACTCTTGGGGTGCAGGTGCTCATAAGACAGGGAGCATGTGGAAGCGCCTGGCTCAGAGCGTGCACTTGGCAGCTTTGAGCAGGAGGCAGAGGGGGCCAGGGCTCCAGCTCAGAGCCCCGATGTCATCTCCCACTCAGTCCTCTCCGTCGCCATCTTGGCGTGCATTCGTGCCTGGATCCTGGGCCCGTCCCTCAGCGCTTGTCCGCTGTGGACTGCATGCCTGGCCTTCCTCCGGACGGCCCGGTGAGTGGCGTGGCAGCTGTATTTGCAGCGAGTCCGTTTTGGGGAGTGCTTGCGAAGCCTGCACCCTCCTGAGGAGCGGGCTGCTGATGTTTCTCCTCTCCTTGGCAGAGAACTCTCCTGGCCACGGGAAGCCTGAGCCCCGAGGCCGAGTCAGCAGCCTGCTGCCCAAGCCCGAATTCCCCGACGGGGAGATGGTGGAGGTCCTCATCTAGCGGCCGTCCTGCCGGAGCCCGCAGGGAGCGCGGACAGACCAGGAACGTGGCAGACGGAAGACAGAAGCGCAAGGCTGTGCTGGGCATTCGGAGGGACTTGAACTGATGGAGGCTTCAGGTTGATGGGACACTTTTGTAGAGGTTAAAAACAAAAGCGGGGGCCTACGTGGCGGGAGACAGATGCTGTGGGTTTGTGTTACACGTGGCAGAAGAGAAGATGCAGGTGGGCTTGGAAGCAGAGTTGGGAAACGGGAGGAGGAACTGTCCGTCGTGCAGAAAATGTGTCTCCTGGGGCCCCGTGCTCCCCACTCTGGTTATAAACAGGCAGACCCAGATGCGGGCCCTCCTCGGAACCCCCCACGCCTCTTAGCGCACTTGGCTTAAGAGCCCCTATACGTGGTAGCGCCGTGGCGTGATGCTGTGTGTGGCTGTGGCAGTCGGAGAGGCGGCTGGGGCGGCGGGCCGCTGGGGGGGG